ATGTTTGAATTGGTTAGAATATGATAAGGGATAGATCAAGATTAGTTTTCTGTTTTTATTTTATTTTTGTTTATAATTCATTTTAGTTTGTATTTAAAAGGAAGATGACCATTCTTTATAGAGGTTATTGGAGAATAAAAAAAGAGTTTGACACTGTAAAAAGATGTTGGAGTGGACTCCCTTGTAGACCCATAGAGATGATATAATCTCTCAATTTTTTATTTTTATTTTTGTTTTTTGATATATTAATTTTCCCTGCATTAGTTGGTATTAGAGCCTTGAGATCAAAGATTCATACACCATATGGAGCATTTGGATTGATTTGATCAAATATTTGAGAAATTGGATCAACAATTTTATAGAAACATAGAAGACCTTCGCAGATCAATACAACTGTATCTACAAGATCGACTTAGTATATTGCAATAATAGGAATAAGAATATGAAGAACTATATCTCTATGCAAAAGACAATGTCGATATCCAAACGTGCTATAAATTTTAAAAATCAATTTTGAAGAAGAAGATATGTGATGCAGCATTTGAAATCCAACCATATGAGTTTGAAAAAGAAATTAATATTAAACTTGAGATCCCACTATTCTACTTCATATTGCACATAAATTATTTGACGGATTGGTTTATTGAAGACAAAATACCAAGAAGAATGTTGAAATGACATCAACAACTTTTGAGAAGCCATCTGAAAGATTTAAATTCAACAAGCTTGAGGTCGAGCTTATTCCAATCATGGAAGAATGATGCAAATAAAAAAATAAATTTTTATATTTTTAATTATTATATTTTTTTAGGACTTTAGAAACACGTTATTTAGATTTTTAGTTTTTTTTAAGGTTATTCTTGTCATTTTTAGTTATAGATATTTTAGGGGTAGAATTTGAATTCTAACTTTTTAAAAAAAGATGGATATAATTAGCATGGTTGAATTGGTTTGGATATATTAGACTTGTTTTTAAGAGATAAGGGAGAGATATAGTTTAATTTTCTATTTTTATTTTATTTTAATTGATTATTTCTTTTAGTTTATATTTAAAGGAAAAAGTTTCGTTCTTTGTAGAGGTTATTGGAGAATAACAAAAGAGTAATACTGTGAAAAGACCTTGGGGTGGACTCTCTTGCAGACGCAGGGTACAATCTCTCAACCTTTTAAAATTTATTTTTTATTTTGTTTATTATTTTTCTCGTTGCATCAGCTTTATACAGGTTTTAGAATTGAGTATATTCCCATTGGGGTTCTTAGTTAACTTAGGATTAGGATTTCTTAGGTTAATCCCAATAAAAAATCCATTCAAAGCTTATCATAAGATAGTCAAACCGGCCCTCAAAACTTCTAGAAATTTTTGAAAATTTTAAGAAAGTGGAAGAGGGTCGTGTTGCTGGCCTGGCCTTACCCCAACGGATACAGAGAAGCTTGTTATGTCTAATAATGGTGATCCAATCCAGTTCTGACATATCTTGAGGCTTGCAGTCTAAGTTTGTCTGATGTTTCTATTTGATTTGGTAATTCTGATTGGATTCGAGTAGATCTCGTGGTTTTCTGGGATTGTGGACTACATGTATGTGTGTAGTTTGGCTCACTAGACAAATGTGGTCCCCATGGCACAAACTTACAGGTTTCTAGGAACTTTTTTTAGCCAAAATTTAAAGGGGTGGTCGACAGTTTCCATGTGTGAAATTAGTCAAAACACATCTCAATAATATTGCCTTGTTGGTGGCCATGTATCTTCCAATTGGGTTGAGTGGGGTTACTACAAGAATTGAGTACTTCCAATTAAGAACATGATCCTTATCCTTATGTGATTAAGGCTTAAATGTACAGTGGAAAGATATTTTAGTATCTATCCTTCCTATGGAAGTGACTTATTTGTGCAGGAGGAGGATAGTTTGAACTTGCCCTTTCTGTAAATCATTTTCTAGTTTCATGTGCACTGGAGTTCATCAAGGGAATACCGGACTAAGATAGTAAAGTGAATACGAAGCAAGTTAAGTTCCGATGCAAATTGATTTTAGAAAAAAAAAAAGAGTTTATTTGAAATTATATTTTATTTTATTCTTTTAGAGCTATGGGTGTAATTTTCGATGACTAAGACACGAGGGTAGAAGGGATATTTAATTTAGAATTTAGGGCAGTAAGTTACTTGCCCTAATTTAGAATTTAGGGCACTAACGAGACGTTAGGATATGGCAATAAGAATTTATTGAAGAGATAGATGACAAGAAGAGTGGGACGTCCCTATAGACGGACTGCTTGTTATTTTGGTAGAGTTTTTTTTATGAATGGGAGGGAGAGTTTTCTTCTTCTCTTTTGGACTGATTTACAATCGACGGCTTCCCATGAAACGTCGTGTTTAAATAGTTTCATAAAGTTCTCCATTTTCACTTTTACGGAAAAAATCTTACTCTTCCCAACAACAATGAGTTGTGTTTACGAGCCTAATAGGAAAAGAAGTGAAACGGGTGGCACGCAACGAGTAAAGTAAGTGGTTGCCAAGTGAGGTCAAAGCCCTCTAAAACATATTACTTATTCGAAAGAAAGAAGGATATATTTAATTTCTGAGCTCCTTTCCCTTCAAGTTCACCGAAGTGTTCCATGAATATGTTAAAAGGAAGGATCACCAATGATAAAGGCTACGTGACACAAATTATACGCAGAACCCTTGGACCATAAAATGTCCTGCTATTGAGTAGCAAATTAGAAGCTCAATACCTAGTCTAAATATTGCTACTTGTTTCACCTTGAGTGTGCATTAAAATTAGGATTAGTTTTTCTCATAAGTATACTGCGGCAAAGTTTAGGCAGTGTCAGAAAACCACATAACATTCCTATGTCAAGACCCCCACCATATAACTGAGGAGCAATGTATCCAAAGCCGAGATCAAAACCCCATGGGATTTGGGCTCTATATTGGGGGGGACCTTTCACCATCTTTGGTACTTCTAGTAGTTTTTCTGCACATATGATATCAAATTCCTGTTGCAGCAAACGATCCTCCATCTCTAGCTAACAACTAATGCATTTCACTTATTGAACATGGTAGATGATCGATCTGCGCCCAGAGTTGGGTATTGGAGTTGCCATTCCATGATAATTCTTTGTCACTGTGGAAGTGAATCAGAATGCTGCGCTTGCTAGAATTTATTGCAATGGGATCTAAAAGTCAAAATACCATGAGTTGTGCGGTATGTTCGGAGGGCCTTATTTATAATCGAGAAGTTTGAGGGTCTCCTTTAGTCAGGGTTAGTATGAGTATGCCTCATGTGTGTGTTAGCCAGGGCATAAGAAATAGGATCGGAGAATCCGATATG